TCTACGTGCGAGTCTATGGCAGAAGGCGTCGCGCCGGTATGGTTTCTGTCGCCGTCCGCCCGGCGACTTTTGTGCTGGAGTCTGGAGCGAACAGGACGACTTGCAACGCCTCCTGCTGTGCGCTTCCAAAACGAGTGCTGATCAGAGACTTTTGACATGTCTGTTTAGTTGGCTGTTCGCTGTAAGCTCGGAATGTCGTGTCAGTGCACCTGTGCACGTAATGACATGAGAGAGCGTTCTTGTCGCACGCCGCTGATTGTTGCCTAGTTGTGAAGGGTAGCGACCAGTTTGCTCAGTCGTGATGTGTCGCGGCCTAGTGATTTCGACACCCACCCTCTCCGCCCTCAAAACAGTGGGGCGTTTCTGTCGCCGTCCGCCCAGCGACTTTTGTGCTGGAGCGAACAGGACGACTTGCAACGCCTCCTGCTGTGCGCTTCCAAAACGAGTGCTGATCAGAGACTTTTGACATGTCTGTTTAGTTGGCTGTGCGCTGTAAGCTCGGAATGTCGCCCAAAGGCTGGAAGCCGCCGTTCTGGGCTGACCGGGTGGCAATGGAGGAAGCGTTTGGGTTGTGGTGGTCATGACTTGCATGATGCGTTGAATCATGTTTTGGTTGGTCGTGACTTGTTGCGTCATTTGCTTGTGGAGAAGCCCAAGTTCACCTTTCCCGGGAGGCAAGCCGCGCCCAGACAAGACGGACAAGGACAAGCGGCCGCGCAATGGTGAGTGCTGGGGCTGGGAGGGCCTATTTTACTTGTGTGGTGATGTGGATCAACAGCTGCCTTCTCTGCTACGTGAGGGAGTTCCAACTGGCATTTTGCGCCCAATCCCGCCTTCTGGGGTGTGGCGAGAGACAGACGTGCCGGAGCGCCCAAATCTCGAGCTGCACACTTTCGACACTCCGTGCGGGTCTGCGCAGGAGAATATTTGCGAGCTTGTGGAGGAGGATGTTAAGGCTGGTTTCGCTTCTTAGTTGGATGGCGGCCTCGCAGAAGCCAAGCGGCAATTCGGTGACTGTGCTGCTGGTCGCTTGGGCGTCGTCAAGAAAGAGGGGTCCGCTCGGCGCCTAATTGGTGACAGCTCGATTTCCAACGCAAATCATCTGTGCCGCATATCGGAGAAGGTGGAGATGCCATCTCTTGAAGATGCTTCGCAGTTTCTTTCCAGGAGGCAGGGTGAGCGCTGGATTGCCTTTCTCATGGATATCAGCAAGGCGCGCAAGCGAGTTAAAGTCGCGCCCAAGGCGCGCGGGTTCTCTTTGTTTGCGGTCCTGGAACCTGGTGGAAGGAGGAGGTGGTTCGTATACAACACCTGCCATTTTTGGGTGTAGCTGGGCCGCTTACTGGTGGAGCCGAGTTGCGGCCGGATTCGTACGCTTGGGTCATCGCGTCATTTGGCATGGGCACTTCCTCGTGATCTATGTGGATGATTCCTTGTCGTTATTTCCAGCAAGTTCGGCGCCGATCATGGCATGTTTGCAGGTGGTTTTAGCTTGCGCGCTTGGACTCCCGCTGTCTTGGCGCAAGATGGACTTGGGCTCGTCAGTAAAGTGGATAGGTTGGTGCTTGCGATTGGACGCAGCTGAGTCTGTTGGTGTGCCCGAGTGCACTTCTTTTTGAGAAGAGGGGGTTGATCCCTGGCACCATTGCTGTGTGCGGCATGTTGCGCGTCCAAACACCGTGCGTCCAGTGTCATCCAGTGTCTTGCTAGGTTTGTGCGCGGTAGGGTTTACCGCACGTGTCTGTGCTCACAGCAGCAATTGTCGGGGATACCCTCCTAACCCTCGACTGCCGTGGCGCGCGCGATTCCGAAGCCAATGACAATGACTCGTGGTTGCGTGGACGCATTGGAACCCATCCTGGAAACATGCGATCCAGTGCCCGTGCGCTGAACTTAGGACGCAAATGCACCGCCTTAAACTTCTCGTGCGCTCAAAATTGCACAAGAACAGCGGTGGTGTACGTCATCTGCTTCTGCAACCAATCGAGGCAGAGGTCTGTGGGAGCCGCCCGATTGGTCAGCTATCCTTGTCAGATATCCCCGTTGCGCCTGGGAGCCGACAATGGAAGCTGGTCTGGGATGAATGGCCCGTGCAAAGGAAGTGTCCATCATGCACTCTGCTGTCACATGTCGTCGCCTCCACAATGCAGCCGCGGCATGCTGGAGGGGACGAAAGAGCTCTTCGGCACGGCGCGACTTCTTGCATGGCAAGCGGCGGCCCTGCAGCTTCGAGGATTGCCACCAGCTTCACGCAGGGTAGGGCCGGGTAGGACTTGTGCTGGGAAGTTGATCAATGACGTGTGTCAAAAGTGTGTTGCTCCGCGTGCTGAGTTTGTGTGGTGACTAAGCGACAGGCCTGGCTTGGGCGTTCTGCAAATAAGTGCAAGTGAGATGCGGCGCGTGTGATTCTCTTGCTTGTAGGCCAGCCCGGTGCAGCACGTACGACGCAGTGTTCCAGCAGTGCCGATTCGGGCGCAAGCACGTCAATCGGAGCTTGGTTTCCTGTAGTGCGCAACCTCAATGCAGAATGGCTGCCGCCAAGACACGTTGTCAGTGCCTGAATGTTGTAGACATGGCAACTGGGTTCCAACAAGTCCTGCAAATCACGGGCCCCCTGCCGCGGAAATGTGTTTGAACGCATTCCAGCGGTACTTGTCCTGGGCTGGGCTGCCTAAATGCATTATGGCAGACCGGGGGACTCGCAATCGTGGCCGCTTCACCGACTACATGACCGAGAAAGGCGTGGAGATGACTGAGGCGCCGTGGACAATCGGTAAAGTGGAACGACGTGGTGGACTTGTCAAAGCCATCGTCCGTAAGATCGTCCACGACGTACCGACTGTGGGTCAGGACCAGCTGGTGACTATCGGACTATCGTTCAAGAAGCCATCCAGGTCAAGACTTCGTCGATAGGCAGCTCAGGGTCCAGTCCCGTGCACCTAGGGAGCCTGACGCTGTCGCAGACGATAATGAATGGGCAGACCTGGGTGCGTTGGAGTGGAACCGCGATAAGTGTTCGGCCTTCCACGAAAGACACCAGGCCCGAATGGAGGCGAAAATGGCATCGGTGCACCTGGATTGCTCGCGGCGCGTGCAGAAAGCACTGACACGCAATGCAGCGCCCGTTCACGAGAAATATCGACCCGGCGACCTAGTGGTTTACCGACGCGATGAACAGATCGGAGGGACAAAATGGTCGGGCGCAGCAAGAGTGACTGGCCAAGAAAGCCCTGAGTCAATCTGGGTCATTCACATTGGTTTGCCGGTACTATGCTCAGTGCACGCGCTTCGACCAGCCAACAAAGAAGAAGTTCTGGTGAATGGTATTCCAGTATTGCCATCCGAAATCATTGAGGGAAGGAAGACAAGGAGAGGCTATTTAGACTGTAGAGAACAAGATCCGGAAGAAGAACAACCTCAAGAACCTGAAGAGAAGAGAGCAAGGAGCGAGAAGAGAGCGCCGAAAAGAAAACAAGAAGCTCCAAGGCCGAACATATACCTGCGCAGGATGTTCTCGTTCCTGAGGATGGCGACAGCAGTTCGAGCAGTAGCCTCATTGAGGAGTGTTGTCGGTTCACTTGCGTGGGTGGCGAGGTATGCACGTCCGGACCTATGTTATCGGGTTAATTGCTTGCGACGGGCATGTTCGAAGGCGACAGGTGGCGATCTGACATAGATGTCAAGCTACACTATGCCGCCGGAGTGTGGGACAATGTCAGCTTGGTCAGTTTCAGTGATGCTTCTTTTGCTCAAGAGGAAGGATTCAGATCACGGCAGGGAAGACTTCGTTACCTGTGTGATGCGTCCGAAGTCGAGACAAATGATGATCGTCACGCCCATGTTATCAGTTACGCTTCAACAACGATCAATCGGGTGTGCCGCAGAACCTTGCAAGCGAAACGTCTGGCGTGCAATCGGCAGTTGAGGCTGGTGCCAGGCTCAGGGCCATCACTTGCGAGGCGAAAGGTCTCATCCCCGACATGAAGGACTGGTTTGAGGCATCTCAGCGCAACATGAGGCATCTTTGGGTGACTGATTGCAGGTCGTTGAGTGATCATCTCAACTCAAGCCAAGTGGCAAAAGTCTCCGACAAAAGAGATTGGCTGCTATGCGAAATCAGCTCTGGCATGGAGATGTGATGACGTATGAACTTTACTCTCCAAGTGGGGACCGGTTACGGTGGACTGATACAGCCACTCAGTTGGCCGATGCACTCACCAAAAGCATGAAGCCACACCAGCTGTTCAGAACCATGCGAGAAGACGTAGTAAAACTCAGCGAACCGGGCAAGATTCTGCCTAAGAACACGCCGAAACCATCTATCCCTAGGGAAAATGAACCGCCAGATGAAGGCTGAATCAATTGGGCAGCTGAAGTTAATTAAAAGAATAGCGTGCTAGTAGTAGCCCAGAATCGCGAACTAGTAGGAAGAGCCCAATTCCACCGCACAGTATCTTGTACAGGCCAGCACGCGTCAATAGATAAGACGGGTGAGAAGATGACTCCATTTACGTCATAGCTTGAGCGTGTGCCGTTGTTTAGAGCATCATTTGTGTGTACCGATGCTGGCCAACGGACTCGTGCGGTTTGGTTTTCTGACTCGTGCTGCTTTGTTTTCTGACTGGGCCTTTTTGGTTTTCGGAGCTGGCCCATCCGGTTTCAGCTCATTTTCCCGGCTCGCCGTCGCCCTGCGCCACCACTAACAACAACAGCAAGAAACCGCGCCAACAATAACATCGCCAGCGAAAGCAGCAGCGACTGAGACTATTAAGCCGTAGTTTGCCTTTGCGGAATGTTGCAGTGTTGGTGCTCCTTTCGTTTCAACACACTCCGGCCACGGGTTAATCCTCGTTCTACTGCCAATTTACGACGACGACGACGACGACGTCGACGTCGACTTCGACTTCCACGACGACTAGAGATGCTGCATCGCGGCACTCTGAAACTCAAAACTCAAGACTCCCAAACTCACTCAACCACGCGAGCCGTTCTCTGCGCAGGCAGCGTACTGCGGCCATCTGAGCTTTGAGGCGGTCTGGGGATTTGGGCCGAGGATTCAGGATGTGCCAGGATGCGCCTAGGGAGTTGCCACAGTGTCGCTGCCTGCTCGTGTGGTTGAAGGGAGGCCTGGATGGGCATTAGGTTGGTGTTTTTTGATTATTCAATGAGAATGCTTCGGCAGTGGGAACCCACGACCTAGCCTCGGGGCTTTGTGTCCTCGGTGTCCTCGTGAAGGTCATACGAATCGACAAATCGTCACACAACGAAAGGTTGCCCAAGGTCTCTCACAAGTAGCACAGTCTGGGGTGTGAGGTCAACCACCTGCCGAGCATGGAACAGAGAAGGCACGAACTGCTGCCAAACCTTCGTGAGTTGCCCCGAAAATTCAGGCCGCCAATCATTGATATCAAGGAGTGCACGTTTTTCTGGAGTATGTTGGACAGCAGTGCCTGTTGGGATAGGCGCCGGGAAAGGTGCCCCAATTTTCCAATCATTTTGAGGAGCCTGTTTGGAGTGTTTTGCAAGTGGTGAAGACCCCGACGCACTCCACCCCCCCGAAAGCCTACAAACCGGCCGACTTGAAAGCTGCCGAAAGAACCCCATTCTTAATATACCTCATCGCCGGTTCGCAATCCAAACCATGGTGAGTTGAAGTACCAACAGGCCCTCACCAATGGCCACGATAAGCAATATGGGCTCTTCTTTGTGCCCTCATGGCCCCTAGAATCTTTCGCTTGAAAGCCCTTGAAAACCAAAAATCTGGAACCCCTTGAAGGCCTACGACTCCAAAAGCACAGAACATGTCCCGCTGGGAAGCCGGAAGCCCCAGATCCTCTTGCTCCGTTCGTGGAGGTGGTGGTACCACGCGGCCGAGGCTCCACGTCCGCCCCCGCCACCCTGGAGGAGGTCTTTGGCTTTGAGGGCCCGTAATGAGAGGTGAGAGATGCAAGATATTGCACGAGCAAAGAGTCCCTTCTGCCTTTTGCCCTCTTTTGTTTACCTCCTCAAGAATCGTGCTGTGCTCATGGAGAGCACTCTCTTAGCCTCCTCCAGGGCCCTCAAGTTAAGGTCGATGCAGTGCTCAGACTTTTGGTGCGCACGTTGAATCGTGTTGGAATTACTGGAATTGTAGGGGCGGGGGGGGGGGGGTGTGCATGTTTGTATATGTGCATATTCTGGAACATGTGGGGCAACTTCGAGTCTCCTCTTACGACTCAGCATCCCAGGGCTTCTAGCACCGAGAGCCAATCTTGCGACTTCTTACGACATCTCACGGCATCTTACGACCGTTCCCCCATTTTGAAAGCTTGCAGCCTTTCTCCAAGATTTGACGGAGGCGAGCCATCCTCGCGAGGCGGCAGCTGGGGGAGGAAAGCTAGCTGATGCATCGAAGTCCTTTCCAGACTCACCCCTTCCCCTCGGCCCCCATATCAATTTCGGAGGCTCCTCCGCGCCACACTGCTTACGCAGTTTCTTCGAGCCAAGTTCCCGGCAACGATGCTTGGCTCGAGGCTGAAATCTGAGGACGGAATGGTCAGCTGGCCACCCAATCCCAGCTTTGTATCAATGGAGTCCAGACACAGCGAACTGCACGTTTCCCAACCTACAAGTCTTTGGCCTGGCATCCGGCACGCTGCTACAGCCAGATGTGTGTCCTACCCAAGTGTGTGCCAACTGCTCCAAGTGTCTCCTTCCAAGTGTCTCCTTCCAAGTGTCTCCTTCCATGTAGACTCTGCAAAGTCTTGCATCCTGAAGGGGTCCAAGAATTCCGCCATATTCTGCCCAGGAAATGGTTTGGTCTTGATGGCAGCGAGGCGAAACAATCGCACGCCAAGTTGCGAACCCTAAAGGGCACCAAGCTCAAAGCCTTCTGCGCAATCTTGATTGCCGGGGGCCCGTACCCTCAGAATCCAGCAGCCCTGCACGATAACCCTGGTCTCTAGACTGCAAGAACCTGCAACCTTCGCTACTGGCGAGCTCTGCTTTGATTCAGATGGATTCAGATTGGGTTCTCAAAACACTGCTTGCAAAGGGTTATGGCTTGTGGGGAAACTCTTTGCCTGTCAGGGGCCATGTCAGGCCTCTGTGAACCCGCCAGAAGTTTCTCACCTGCCTAAAGGGCCTAAATTGAAACAGCGAACACATGCGAGCACCCAAGTCGCAACTAGAGGGTCCCGTTCCAGAGTCATGTCGTGTGACGTCTTGTGACCAGTTTGTCCCATCTGCCATTGATCAGCCACGGCGCGCACACATCATGATCAGTTTCACGCCCCAGTTTTCTGTACTAAGTGTGAAGAGGTGCTGCTTCCTGGCCTCTACCGGCTCTGCTACGGTTGCTCGGCCCTGTGCACCCTATAGAGCCTGGCCACCCCTGTGAGAATGCTTATCTAGCAACAAGGCACGAAAGGTTGTACTGGGAGGATGCAGTTGTGGCCCTGTTGCCACGACCGTGGGTGCCAAGATGTGAACAGCAAAGAGCAACAAAGCCCCAATCTGACGCCGTGATATGTCGGACATTGTTGGACACCCAAGAGACCTGGCCTCTTGAGGCTCCGCTGCCCGAGGGGTGGAGCAGATCGAGATGGGCATGCCGCATCGAGGCAAAGACATGGGAATCTGAGAAACGGAAAAGGTCCTGTACGGTGTGGGGCGAGTCGATGTCGAAGGAGAGTGCCTCTCTTTAGGGTACAGTATGGTTGCCTTGGGAGCTCTCTCTTCCTGTGCTGCTTTCATCCTCTTGTACGGTTAGTGCTCAGCCCAGTACACCTGTTTACTGTCTCTGTGAGTGTCGAAGCGTCATTGGTGCCATCCAAAAGACCGTGAAGGCTTCTGGACCTTGTTACAAAAAGCCACACCCGCACCCGTGGCCACGTCGCTGCTCTCAAATGTGTGCGGCCCCCACTCCCCCACCCGCATGGCGACACCAACCACTGCGAGTGCTTAAAAGCCACGAGTCTCCAACTGTGACTCTCCGTGTGATTCTTCGTGTGTCCAAGGCCGCCTGAACATCCTGGCAAATATCCTGGGCAACGAGGCTTTGAGAAATCTCCAACCCCTCCTTCGTTTTCAGTGCACTGGAATCGCTTGCTCGTCGAGGAGCCAGCCTTGTCAAATCCGACTGACGCAACAATCATGAATCGAAGCTCACTCTCACACGCAGTTGGAGTTCGGATATTGCCATGCCCGAAGCTGCTGGAATCTTGAACTCCCCGTAGCTTGAGCGCGCACTCCACAGAACACGTAGGCCCATGGGGGTGCCCCATCCAAGGCAAAGAGCTGAGCCAAATCTGCTGCGAGATGCGCGAGGACCGAGCCGTGGAGCCTTCTATCTCGAAAGACAAGTGGAGCCCCGGAAGGGAGAGCGCTCCCAGCCCTCTTCTCCTCCCCCCGTTCCCGCGCCCACCGCGAAGTTCCTAGTAGCTCCGGCCTAGCAGAAGTCGCGAAGGGTCTTCCCAGTTTTTCATGTTTGCATCACAGCGAAGATACGTTGTAGCTGGGTGGAATGTTAGGGTGCTAGATTGGCCAGGATCAGAGCGACTTCCACGTGGGAGACGTGCGCCGTCCTCAGTTCTAATTCTGCAAGCAACCTTAGACCTTGCAGGCCATGTGCTCATGTACCATCACCTCCCAAGGAAATACCACACCGGCTACGTCGGCGAGCTGCCGACTTTGGAGGCAGCCCTTAAGTGGCGGTCCCACGGAAGTCACGAAACCTCGGAGTCTTTGTATAGTTCTTTTGTAGCTCTCGGCCCATCAGAAGAGGCAGCCTTTCGAGGAAGACATGTTTGGGCTGATGTGGGCTCAGGTTCTGGAACATCTGTTGGACCCCATACAAGGGTCAAAAATTTTTTTTATCGGGCAACGGGCGGAGGATCGAATTGTTCGACCGTCACTTCAGCGAGTCGCAGTGTAGAAGGTCGCTTAGGTTTCCTCCCCTAAGACTCCGCTGATTATTACAGGACCTAAAGGTTCACTTAAGAGCGAAAGCAAGTTTTATAAAACCTCAATGTGGACATTGTGCCGGAGGCCTGGTGGCACGAGCGCTTCGGGGCGTCCGATGGCGACGAGAGCGGGAAGGGCATCCGACCTCCTGTCCCTTTGGCACAGTGAACTTTTGCTATTTTGCTCTACAGAAGTCTCGCGAAGTCTCACGAGTTTGTCTGAGGTGGTTCGGCAATTGAGTGTACAGGCCAAAAACCTGGAGTGTGCTCCTTCGCCGCCTTAACCTCCAATAGTCACACAGTTCGGACCAGTTCCACCCCCAGCTGCGACCCTAGCTTCTTCGGTTGGTGTTGAGTCCTGTGTATTTCTGCGCCCGTGCCATCCGCAAAATGTCGCGTTGAAGCCTCTTCGGTTCCGAACGAAGAGGTTGTGACGATCACGCCCAATCCGAGCCACTTGGAGATGGTGACTCCTGTGGTGCTTGGAAAGGTCAGGGCTCTGCAGGCGCCTTGCTCGGAATCTTCGCTTTTTTGGTTCACATTCTCTGAAGGTGCGTCAGGTTAGCTTAGGACTGAGGGCTTCGAGGCTCCATTTTGCCAGAAAAGGCGTTGGCATTTAGGATGATATATGGATGGTTTGGGATTGGGGGTCCAGGGCTCCACCCCGCCATCCCCCGCCCATTCAGTGGTGCTCCAAAATGAACCCTCGGGTGCTGTCTCCGAAAACCCAGCGCCCCTCCTGTTGTGCCAGAGGACTCTGAAGCTTCTGGTCGCGGTGTGCAGAGCATCATGGGGAAGCTCGTTGACGAAGTTGACTTTTGCGGTTCCGGTGGTCCTGAAACTCACCTAGAGCTCATGGGTAGTCCAAAAACTCCTGTGCAACTGCGTTCAGATCCCCCCCCCTCCCCAACAACAATCTGCAGACGGTCCGAGGATTGTTCTCCATGGCGATGCCGCCTTCGCAGGCAGCGGCATGGCCTTCGAGGCGCTCCAGCCACAGTGGCTGCAGAACATTGAGATTCTTGTCCTCCCTTTTGTGCTCTTGCAGAGAAGGAAGCAACATGTAGCCACACTGTGAGTCAGAACCCTGCATGTACAACGTCCAGGGCTGCCGAACACCTCGACAGGCCTCTCACACCTGGATAGGCACTAATCCACCACATCTGCAGTGGTCTCACGAGTCTAGAGAAAACGTAATCAGGTTGTCAGAGCTTCCCGGCTACGGCACCGGCGGCACTGTCCACGTGGCATTCGACCTAGAGCGGGAGGGAGATGAGTCCTCCAAACAGAGTAGCGGAGCAGCGCCCAGGTTCTCAACAATCAGGTCGGCTACACCACTACGCCGAACGAGGTTTCGCTACAGTTGACTGAGACAGTTGAACATCACCACAGTAACATGCCCCGCACAATGTCAGCCATGCGCAATCTATCAGCAACGCAACATGGCCAAATCTTTGTCTCCACTGAGCCCTTCATCCTGGAGGGCCGATCGGCAGCGCACCCGAGCGACGTGGCCAAGGCTGCTTTTAGGAAGAGAGGCAGAGGAGCTCTCACACCACAAACTCTCACAACGGTTCTCTCCGCAAATTTCTTGAAAATCCGTATGTGTGGCAAGCACATGCAGGCACCATCAAGCACCCTTAGGCCCCTGGATCTTGCGCTTGGGATGTTTGTGCGTCCGTCTCGAGCATTGCATATTACATAGATTTCATATTGTTCTGCTGAAGTTCAAGTCGCCACAGTGCTAGGCGTTGGACGTTCCCATCATCCACGTCAATGCTGACGACGTCGAAGCAGTGGACCGTGCGTGCCTTGCCCTCCACAGTGGTGGAAGCCACAAAGCGACGCAAAGCCCAAAACCTTTCAGAGGCTCACGATTTTCTTCGTGCGCTTTCGGGTTGATCATCATCATCACCACCATCTTCATCATCATCGTCATCATTGCCGGGCCTTTGTCATAATCAGCAGGAAAGTACAGTACCTGTCGGAGGGATCATGAAGGCTTCCGCCCTGCGAATTTATGTGGAGTAGCTCTCGAAACGCTGAGCGATAACCTCGTGCATTCTACAGAGACTGGATGACGAGGCATGGTTGGGAATCAGGCCTCTTGTCTGCTGCTGCCGCTGCCGCTGCTGCAGCGGCGGCGGCGCCCGCGGCCGCGCCCGCAGCAGCAGCAGCAGCAGCAGCAGCAGCAGCAGCAGCAGCAGCAGCAGCAGCAGCAGCAGCAGCAGCAGCAGCAGCAGCAGCAGCAGCAGCAGCAGTGGTGCGCGTGTGCGAAATGGATGCTGTTGCACGGAGTGAGGGAGACGAGCATGAATCCTGTCTACTCTCACCATTAAAACCTGACACTAACTAAACGAAAGCCCAGCTGATGACGACCTCGCCTAGCGTTGCACGAGCCTATCTAGACCTTGCGTAGTCCAAAGGTTCGGCTTGGCAGCCGAGTGGCGAGCAGATTTCCAGCGCGATGTTGTCATCGAGCCTTTGGCTTGTTGGCTTGTTGCTCATGGCCCGGGGTGATCAAACACGTCTCGGGTCCCTTAAAAATCCTTTATATGAAGACATGCGTATATGCAGCGCTACTCGCAGGGAAGTCATAGATGAACAAGTTCTGGCGGTTCCGCCGAGAGCACCCTTTCAGAAATCGCGCACAAAGTTCGAGACCTCTTTTGCGACACCACGAAAACCAGAGGAGCCAACACAACTGTCGCATGTGACGCACCCGAGGACCTCGTGGGCTATCGCAGGCTGTCGGGAGGTGGGAAAGGTTGGGAAAGTTAGCATTGGCAGTTTTATAACCTCCCGTGTTCCGCTGTACTACACCTGACACCTCGGAGGGACTCCTGAATAGTTTCCAGGCGCCAACGATAGCCCCTTTTTGCTGGCTTGACGCTTGCAAAGAATTAACTCCTAACGGTGGGCTTCGGAGTAAGCGGCAGCGATCAGGGTTTCTGCATGGATGCGACTTGCCACGGCACAAGATGGCAGTTTCGAACTTACAACTTGCGAGTGCAAGCAGGCAAGTGCACTCAAGGGGAGCTAGCATGATGGTGTTGATGGCCCAGCTAATCATAGAGGTCGAACTTGGAAGAAAAAAGCCGTTGAGCTCTGAGCCAGGATATTCACCAGTGACCTGGGGAGGGCATCAGCCCTTTCCGCACCCATCCTAATGTTGGTAGGGCCTGGTAGGGCTACGACCTCATGTGATTCAGAGCGCAATGTTTGAGGGAACCGTGGTCCCCGAAAGCACAGGTTTGGCCACAATGAGACCGACCGGCCAGATGTATTCCACCCACTCTCATACGTGCCTGGGCATTTTCCAGACGCACCACGTGACGAAAGATGTGGAACATTGTGGAACCAGAATGTTTGTTGGTTTTCCAGGGCGGCCTAACTCAGCCCGGGCAACTTCAGGCACGGGTCCGCGAACATCCGGAGGCCTGAGAGGGTTGGGCCGCTAGGGTATTCTACGGGCTTGTACTCTGCTCGGCTTTGAGGCTGCCGGGGTGTCGTGTTGAGTGTTGATCATGTGAAGGCCTCTTTTTAGTTAAGGTTCCTAGTATCTGGCGGTTAGTTGTTGGGAATGTGGTTTGTTCCAGCACTTTGCATTGCGAGTTTTCCTGAAAACCAACTAGAGCCACCGGAGTCGGAGAGTGTGATCCAGCGTCGGGGTCTTGTTTATTGTGTTTGCAACTCTAGTTGCGACTGGGACAATCACGGTATATCACGGTTCTAGATGAAAAGAGGAAGGGCTCGAGTGTGGCATTGGGAGAAAAGGTCTACCTCAACGAACAGGCATCCTTGAAGACTGTACAGCAGTATCGAAGCACCCGTGCGCAGATGAATGCAGCTGAATGCTGCTGCAAAAGGTTACGAAGATCTACGCAGCAGCTCTGGCGCGTGAGGGTGTGGTCAGCGAGTCTGAGGTAGCAGAGCCTTGGACCTGTCATCAGCACGGGGTTCCTTCGGACTGCAGGAGATTGTCATGAGCTCCCCGCTCCTTGCCTCCACCCCGCCATTGACGTCAGCAGAACCTAGCTGAGCCAACCGTGACGCCAAGAAAGACCAGGATGCCAGTCGCACATGTTTGGCACTGCTAGTTTGAAAACCCTTCTTCCAGTGCGTGGCATTGCGTGGCCACGTGAGGAAATGCGCGAGGCAATCTGGAGTAATCTGGACGCCGAGTTCTTGCACAAAGACCGGTCACATGCCAGCACCGTTCAGAGTTACGACTAGTATCGAAAAGGCGTTCATGGAACTCACGAGATTTTTGCACAGTGTTCCCAGACCGGGGAGCATGAAAGGCAACGGCAAGGGCATAATTTTCATGATAGAGCGGCGCGACCGTAGATTTCCGACTTCTTTTGTGCAATTTCGGGATTTTCTGGCCCCTACCCTTGCTCTCCCCCTCCCCTGCGCCTTACTGAAGGCAGGAACCAAAGGACACGCGAAGCTCCCAAGCAAATTCAAAGCGAAAACTCAAGGCACAGGAAGCACGGCATCGATTGGGTCTTGCAGAAATACCGCGGCCGAATCGACGAGGGCCGGCGGCCCAAGCAGGCCGCCTGGGGCTGCTTTCTGGACCCTTCAGGGGCTTTGGAGGGTTTAGGATGGTTTGGGCTTCGGTGGCTTGAACTTTGCTTCCTGCAGAAGGCTGAAGGTGTATCAACAATGTATCAAGCAACCCACTGGAAAGTACACCTGCGAGCTGTAAGGAGCGTACTGCAAGTATCACAAGTACGGGCTTTAAGTTTGTGACCCAAATCTTCAATTCCCGATGAGAGACAGATCGCGCAGAACACCATGAGCTTTTGCGAGATCTCATGCCAAGTACCGTGATGATGGGGAGGGGCCCTCAAGCTTTACGCGCCGCAAAGCCCTCGCCACTGAAGTCATTGCAGGTGAAGGGCGTCACGGGCGTGCCCCTCGAGACGTTACGCCGGATTGGCCGGGGAGCTCAAGGGGAAGGGGATTTTGAAGAAGTTTGGAATTCATCGCAAATGGCTAAGCGGCTAAACGGGGGATGGGGTTTAGGAAACATCCCGGCAGGCTCATCCGCTTGAACATCCAGTCACCTGAAAGACCAAACCTCCGAAAGCAGGTATAAACAAGCAGTGCTACTTTGCAGTGCTCTAATTATCTTTTTCAAGGAGGCCCTCCCTCCTCTCCCCTCCCCCTACCGCTCCCACTCCCTCTCCCTCTCGGTCTCTCTCTCTCTCTCTCTCTCCCTCTCTCCCTCTCTCTCTCTCTCTCTCTCTCTCTCGCTCCCTCCCTCACACGCATTCAAAAAAGAGGCCACGCCATGACCGGGATCCCCGAGGGCGTCACCTCGCACCCGGAGGCCCCCCCAGCGCCGAGTAGCCGTTTTCTCTGCAGAGCTGGGCTGTAGCAGAGAGAGAGAGTGAGAGATCTGAGCGACACTCCTAAAACCAGCTCTCCTCGGCCCTGGAAGCCGGAAGCCGGGGCAACCCATTGACAAGCGCCCAACACCCATCCTGAAACCCGCAACGGCCTCCAAGAACCCCTGGGCAAGGTCGAGAAGCTTCTGCAGAAGCGCCACCTGGACTGGAAAGCAGATCTGGCGTGTTCGCCTTGAATCTGGAACCCCCGGAACCCCCCCTCCTTTCCCGCACAGGCCGTGCCATGTTCGGGCCAGGAGGTCGTGTGGACTTCGCCACGGCGGTGTCCCGGCAGGAACGCCCCGGGCCCTACCCCTTTCCCCAACCACTTGCAAAAAAACTGAATTCGACTTCGAATCTTAGAAGTGACAGCCTTAACCGCAAGCCTTGGGCCTCAACCAGCAAGTTTGGAGACCATGAGCCCAGTGCGTGCTCGTCGATCTCCTAATGATTTCACCTCCAAGTTCTTGGATTGTCGTCGCTTTATGTAACCTCCAAAGCCCCCAGCATCCCCCAGCATCCCCCACACACACACCCCGCCCAGCCTAACGGATAATGTTTTTGTAGCCTGTGATGCGGCCCATCTCTGAGGAACAGCTCGCTTTCTGCTCCATCCTGTTGCACCGTGATATTTGGGCTTCTTGGCTGCTGGGTGAGCTTCACGGTGAGCCTCATATAGAGAATGGTGCCCCGTCAGTGTTGCACCCCCTCGGAGAACTCTGGACATCTAAGGGACCCTGAACCCCAACCCGAATCCTCTGACCTCTAAATCCTCAAGCCTGTGCTCCGAAAGCTCCGAAGGACCCTGTTTAAGCAGTCAGGCGGGCGATGCTGGAGCAACGGGGAGCTGGGCAGTTGCCGGTCACGAAGCTCGCTTTGCAGCCTCCACTCAAGGGAGGGGCGGGCGGGGCTGGGGCTCGAGCTTCTCTCGCATCTTTGCAGAAAGTTTCGCTCATTATCATTCCCAGGTTATATCGAGGGCCCCTAGAAACGCCTAGAAACGCCTGGAAAAAGCGCCAGTCTTCGGTCCCAGTTTCAGGAGAGGCTGCCGAACCGCAACGTCCGGCTGGCGGGCCAGGCAAGAAGCCGAAAGTGAGGTGGAGATGAAGGCGTAATAAGGCATATGAAGGCCTTCAACCGCTTTGCTTCTAAGAGCTCCTCCCAGATACCCTGGCTACCAGGGGGAGTGGGCCCGGGCCGGATCCTGCCAGGATTGCGTGCGGGGCACCTTCAACCAGCGCCCTGGCAAAACATCACGGGGAGAGCTCTGAATCCGAGACCCGCAGCAAAAGCCCAGAACTCCGAATAGAGACGAGGGCCCTCCCCCCCCCTTCCACCCCCAGATTTTAAGAGACAAGCATTAAATACTAAACACAGATGTCGTAAAGAGGGGCACAAGCAATAGCTCCCATCCCTCCAAGCCCTCCTGCTTCAAAAGTGGAAGAAGAGAGGTGCCTCCAGTGCCCCTCTGCTTTGTGGAGAGCTGTGCTTGAAAGGCCTGCTTCCTCTTCTCACCGCTGCAGCCCCCCCCCCCCCCCCCCCCCCCCCCTCCTGCCGTCAGCCCCCTCTGGTAGATGAATCTTCGCTAAGGCGGCATCTCATCGTCCAGGTCACTTGGCACGCAAGCACGAAGTCTGAGTCTTAAGGTGCTCGTGGCTTTTTCCTGATGGCAGGACTCCGTCAAGGGTGCCGGCGTGTCGCTGCTTCCCCAGGCCCTGGCGCCGGGAAACCAGGCAGGGGCTCCAAGGGAATAGGTCCACATGAAGGATTCGGAGTGAGGTGGAAACACGACAAGACTGCCCCCGCAGAATCGAGCAGCATACCGCTTGCCAAGAAGTTTTCTGTTTCAGAGGCTTTCTCGGCTTGCTTGCGTGATCGGCAGGCCAACTTCTACGCGTACAACAGCCCCTTGTACCTTGACTGCCAGCTTTACTCAAGCTTTTCGGTTGGAGGCGCCAGCACCCGAGTTGTCTGTGACCCCAATCAGACTCCTTATGCAGTTTCATACGGCGCGCAGTGCATCTACCATGGCAGGTCATCGCAGCATCGTCACCAGAGTAGAGAAGAACCGCGGGGTTGTGCCAGGATGCTTAGGTCAGAAGCCGGAATGAGCTTCAACTAAGGAAGCCACCAAGGAATCCGCACATGACCTTACAACCCCAAACTTACAACCTAGCACGAAGCTGCAGCAGATTCCAACTGCCCTCTCTTTTGTTTCGTTCCCCGTTCCAACGAAGCGCGCTTTGCTCAGCCGCAGGTCCGAAGCTGCGGCCCTGGCCTTCGAGTACGGCAGCTGGGTTTGGGAGTTTGAAGTGTTCCATCCCTCGACCACACGCGTTGGAAAAGTAGTCCTCGCGGAAAATTGCCGCAGAACCTGCAAGAGGGCCTCATGAACACGAAGATATGGCTGACATGACTGATACGACTCGACGGACATGACCATATAACTTCATATAACGTAGTAATATTGGCATCTCCGAATGCCCCAAGGCTACTCGCTGGGCGACGAGGATGCCCTGGTTTGCTGGGAGGCGAGGGCGACCGCTTCAGGAGTTTCAGGGCCCGGGGGTTTGGAGTAGCTGCGCCGCTTTGAAGCAGAGGCCCAGTTCGGAGACTTTGCCAACTGCGCACAGGCTCGGCTGGTGAGGGGTGTAGGATGGCTTTCAGGAGCTTTGAGCGCCTTCTCAGGGTCTCCAGGGTCTGTGGTCTGTGGGCTTCGTAGCGTGTGGAGCCATAATAAAATGAAAGGCAAGCTTCGCAAAGTCGCAAAGGCTTCGCCCGTAAACTTTGCGAGCCTGTGAATCCTCCAGGCAGTGATCGACGAGTTCATCGTTTCCGGAGCGGCTCGGTCGGGCCGCAAAATGGGATTGCCTTGACTGCGTTCTGGGCACCTGTGAAATTGTCACCCTATACAGCTTCAATACTTTCGTGGGTACAGTCCGGACTTCACTATATCGAAAGGAACCCTACTACTAGTGAGACTAGCGTAGCGCCCAGGAGCATATAACTGCGCTTTGAAGGCTTGTGTGGGTTTATGTGGGATCCAAGTCTTATGTTGAGTCATACGTGTCCGTACTTGCGTTCGGTCGAGCTATACAGTGCGTCCAGTCTTCGTAAACTTCCGAACTGAAGCCGAATGCCGCTTCAAGGAAGAGAAGTGGGGGCAGAGCTCACGGCTTACCCTTCTGCTGCCTCATGGCTACGTTCCTTGTCCACGGTGTTGGGTTAAGGGTCTTTGCAGAGTTTCTGATCAGAGTGTTTCAGGTATCCTTTACTGTCCTGCACCCTCCACCCTTAACCGCCATAAGCTTACTAGCAGTTGCTAGCATGATGCGAGGCTCCAAGCAGGATGGACTGCAAATTCTGATCATACAGTTGCCAATCCCTTCTCCATGGTGTGACTGACTGCGCGTCTGTTTGTCTGTGCTTTGGGGGTGGCAATCGCGCGTTGGGATCCCCAAAGCAGCATGTGGTGAATTGAGCTCTACTTTGGGTTTAGCTTTGTCAGGTGTGTGGCTTGACCTTTGCCCCCCACCCGCAAGGGACTGGGTTGGAGTTAGTTGGCATCGAATACTGGATCTCGATTTAAATTAGATTAGGAGCCAATTCCAGCTGAGGGTTCAGGGATCTAGACGAATGTAAGCCTCCCTTTCGACCTCCTTTAACCACGCGGCTTGAACCATACTGGTTCCGTTGAGGCTTTGGCTTGGTTCAGGGTCTTGGGGTCGGCTGAATCCCCTGACGCTGTTCAATCTCTTGATAGGGTTAGACAATAAGTTAGCGATTGAAAAGAACTGGTGAACGAATGTACGCAATATTACTATTATTACGAGTGTGAAAGGAACACATGACTTACTATAAAGAAGGCGAGTAAAATGAAGATAATGCCAAGAGACGCCCATGTTGTACGTTAAAGGGCTTATGATGAACGGCCCTGTGCTTACATCGCTCAATCTCATAATAATACTAATTTCGCTTTCTTATAATAGTATGAGCGTGAGAAACAAGACACAAGAAAATAATAAAGTTTACGAGCGGTCTAGCGATTTTTCCTTTAATAATCTGGAAATTGTACTATTATTATACGGGCATATGAACGAAAGAAACCTGGGATTTTTCATTTAATATTTCGTTCATATAATTTTGTTCGAACCCTTCTCAGGTGATGGCTTGGTGTTAGCGGTCGAGACAGACTTTGAGTAGGGCTCTATCGAAATCCTACCCAGACCTTTCAGAGACTGGGGCTCGAATAGGATCGGATCCACAAATTCGGCCCCCCACGCCCAGGCCTTGACAGTAACTGACAGTGACACCCCCTAGCCTTCGAAAGCAAGCGGAGATGCCGCAAAAAAACCCAAAGTCGAGGATGGCCAGGGTCCCAACCATAGCAGTGCGCGCCTGGAACGCTTCCTGCCCCTGGGATTCCCGCCCTTTACGGGTTTGGTGTAGTGCTGGCATTAGGAGTTGAGCAGTGTTTAGGGGACATTTAGGGTATGCAGAGGTATTTTCCGGAGTTCGGGGATGCTTGTGGGTGTTCTGGGCGCATTCATGTGCAGGAGTACGATTTCCTTGAGGAGCGCTGTGGGCATAGATAGGTTTAGGACATCGCAACTATCAAGAGGGGATTTCTCGCAGCTGCAAGGTGTAACAAAGGGCTGTGTCTTTTTGTACTTTGAAATGGCAAATCCCAAGCGATGATGTAAAGCTAGTGGGCTAGAGTGGCACGAGTTGCGCCCAGGCCAGGATACATGGGCTGCATGCTCGCAACCGCCACAATCCAGCATAGCGTGAATCCGTGCATTGTGTTGAGATGTGTGAGACACATGTCTGCCATAGGGTCATCGAACCTAATCTTAGCCAAAAGGCTCCCACTGTAAGCCCGTAAGCCTTCAAATTCGAAATCCCCAGCCCGGCCTTTTACCGAGGCAGCTTACCAACGACGATCCCAACCACCTGCCGGGCAATTCGCCTGAGGACCTGCCGCGAGCATTGTTGAGCATGTCGAGCTTCATGTTGCAGCGTCGCTGTGGCAGTTAAGCTGCGGGGGCCAGTGTCTATCTGATCTCGGCAAGCAGTGTCGACAGTCTTGGTGTACATGTATGTCTTTATGCCTACATTGGCAAAGTGTCCCAGAGTGTCCCAGTCTCCTGCGTGAGTCACCTCTGGACAGGGCTCTGTGTCAGAGATTTCAAGCAGCAGCCTGAGCGGCATGTAGCAAAGAAGCCCCTCCGTTGGCCACAAAAAGCCCTGCAAAAGAGCAATACTGTCATGTTGACATGTCGAAAAGCCACGGTGCATGTCTGTATGTCATGGAAGTTCGATGATGTTACCATCCTCATCCCTATTGCAAGCCCAGTGTGCGCCCAGTGTGCACAGAGTAACAGCTAACAGCTCGAACCAAACCTTCGCCTTGGGAGGAGCTGCGGGACATCGAGCGCGCCTTCGATATTCTGGATGCTGATGGTGCTGGCATCCTCGAGGCTTCTGAGCTCGGGAACCCCGTGGGAACTCCGTGGAAACTCCGTGGAAACTCCACGGTTGCTGGCCAAGGGCCAAGGGGCCCCACATGGCCTTTTCAAAAGACAAATAGGAGCACTGGATACGTGGATATTCGCCAAACATTCCATTGTGCCAGGAGGGCGCCGTCAAGAGCTACATGGAGAGGTTGCCGGCTTTCCAGTCCCGCGAGTTCGAAGACGAAGCCTGTTTATGACTGATTGCGACTGTTTGCGTTGACTTCTTGCTGAGATGCGCTCTTCTTTTTTGTCCAAAATGGCCGATTCAGAGCCCAACTGCTGCCACTGCTGCCCCGATTCCGGCCAAGGCCGACTTCCGCTTTGCACGACATTTGCTCTGCTGAGTAAGGGGGCTGATGTACGGGGGTTTTGTGAGAGCAGGGCGCAGCGGATTGTTTTGTCTCCCATGAGGAGTGGGAGCTCTGGCTGAAGGTCGCCCGGAACATGAACCCAGAGGCGCACCATGGCGCACCCCCCCCCCCCCCCAAAAAAAAAAATGAAAACTATACACATTCCTACACATACTCCTACACCTTTCTTTACCCTCCTGTCTGGTGCCCGTTTCTGTCAGACTGTACAGCTTCAGCGATGCGAACTCGTCCCACAGGCCACGGGCATCACTCGGAGAGACTGGCGGATGATCATGCAACTCGTACAAAATGAGTTGGCAGGTTGAGGCCATTACAGATCTCCCGCGGTTTCCTGGGATTTCGTGAGCCACTCAGGGCGGGCTCGAATTTTTTAGGTTCGGGGATGTTCGGGGCAGAGTGTTGGAGAAAGCAATTGAATCCCCATCGCTTGGCGGTGATATCATCGGCTCAGAATGCAGTTACTTTCTATCGTTTTGCAAAGTTCAAGTCTCAGATGCGCTGCTCGAGCTGCGCTGAGCTCAGGCATTTGCTGACTTGAAGTATTTTTCTCACCGCATCTGTTCTAATCTTAGGCTCAGCATGACTTGCACATGAGAAAGTGCATTCCCCCCCCCTATCAATAGGTATCTGGGGGGGGGGGTACTTAGGTCCCCGCCTATTTTGGGTAGTTCCGGCGGCCTATTCTGGAGACAGTGGGGGGGGGGTCAGAAAATAGGCCGCGAGCAACATGTATCAGGTGTACCTCTATCTCTCTCGCCATGACCTCTTCCATGACCTCTTTGATTCATGTTTAAGATGTGTTGGTGTCATGTGCCAAAACTCCAGCGAGCCGGGCCCGAGGCTCTGGGTGAATTTGAAAAAGAAAGGGCACTCCGTTTTGGCAACATTATGCCTGCCGAAGAGACTCCCCAACCCCCCCCTAACATGAGGCACAAGACAGAATAGGCAGCGACCTATTTCCGCATACCCCCCCCCCCCCGGGGGACTACCCCCCCCCCCCATTGGGGGGGGGAATGAAAGTGCACATGAGAGTGCAAGTGCAAGGCAGCAGCTCTACCGCCGCAATGCCGAGAAGGTGTGCGCGTGTGTGCGTGTGTGTGCGTGTGAGACCTCTCTCTCTCTCTCACTCTCTTTGTGCGTGTGTCGGTTTTGGTCTTAGCATGCTTGTGGCAAGGCCAGCATCTTGGTCACAGATGCGCAGCTATTGAGTGCATGAGAGGACACCAACATCTTTGTGCTGAATGTCACCACCCCCGCACAGTACTTCCATGCCACTTGGTCATCATAGGGGCAGCGGCTGCGAATCCCCACTTCGGTTGTGCTCTTGTCTTGAACCTTGGAAAGCATATGAAAGCATCATAAGACACCCACCGTCAGAAACCCTTGATAGAGAGGCAAAGAAATGGCTAATCACCAGTGCCTTTGACTGCCTGCATATTGAGAAAACTCTTAGCTGCGAACCGGGAGGTCCTCCGGCGCCAAGCTCACCGGCCTTTCATGAAGCCGTTGGTCCCTGGCCGGAGAGACCGTCGGTTCGTTGTAAATTCTGGAAGCTCTTCTCGAAGAGCAAGGGGGACCTCTAAAGGAAATAGGACCGAACACCCAGCCAGAAGTGGCATGACTTTTGCAGCCAGTGCAGTGCTCGCACCTACCCAGCGCAGAGCAAGAAGAGATCTTGCAAAGCTTCGAGCAAGTCCAAGCCAGGTGCTCATGTCACCGAAGTACTTGCTGCATCATGCCAAGGCTCACCGGTGCCTCGATCTCCCTCGTGTCGCCTCGTGTTTTCTAACATGGTGTCCCTTGTATTCCTATGCAATGCTCGCATCGGTAGAGGAGCCCGCGCCCCAAAACATGTACCCCCAAAACAGATCCAGGTTGAAATTCCAGTGAAAGCTTTGCCTGCCGCAGTCACACTGCACTGTGGGCTGTGGCAGGCTACCTCGTCACTGGAGGACTTTGGTGAGCAGAGTCACTTCATGCGTGCAGCATGGATTGCAGATCTTCTGCCACGTCTACTGGAGTCGAGGGGATGAAAGGTTGAGGGGTCGAGGGTTGCGGAGCTTAGCCAGGCTTAGCCTTTAGGGAGTAGAGGGGTTGAGACGTTCTGCCTCGGAGGAATGGGGCTGCGGATTCCCCTACACCATTGTTTCTTTCCTTGTTTCGATTTTAGAAGGAATTAGATGAAGCTCAGCTCCAAGCCGGCCTACGGGCCTACGGGCTCCAGAGTGTTCCAGGCCTTCTGATTCACCTTTTCCGTTTTTGGCCCCCGAGA